GAGGAGGCACTCAACCTTTGATTGGCGAAGAGAGAAACAATGCATCGGCTGATGAACCATCACACCAATGCTTAATTTCGCCTCTATATAAATGTAGCAGGGTGCAATGCTTGCTTCGGCTATTCACAACATATTCTATAGAATTCCCAACGATAAAAAAAAAAAATGTCAGTAGTAGTATTTAGGTTGGAGTCCGACAATGAATTCCTCTTTCCAATTCCATGGTGTGGTGAAAATATCGCGGTGCTCACTTACAATGGTGACGTGAATGATATTAAGATGTTTCAGGAAACCCCTTGTTCCTCTGATCATTGGCGCCCTTGTGGAGTTGTTTTCCCGACGTCAACCAGATGCACAGCAATTCAAGTGTTCGGCAATACAATTGACGGCGACAAACTCCAATCCTTGTGTGAAGAGCTCTACGCGATGGAGAAACGGCGAGGCTCAACTGTTTATGTGAACCGTCTTGGCCTATGTCTAATAAGTGGAAGTGATCAGGAGACTGTGACGAGGATCAATGATAGCTTCCGTTGGTCCAAATACGGTGTGGAGTTACCTCAGGCGGGCGTTCAAGCAAGTGTTGGATCTGATGCGGTGGAAGCCAATAACGAGGAGCTGCGGCGTAGCTTGGAGGAAAAGAACGTGGAGTTGGTGTCATGCAGGAACCAACTGGAGGAGAAGAGCTTGGAACTTGCGGCATGCAAGAAGGAGCTGGAATGGATCAAGAAGATGGAGAAGCTTATGAATGTTCGGTCCTATTTGCTTTGCCTTGTATGCATGTTCCTTATGTTTCTAACTGCGATAGCAAAATGAGGTCACCAATTTTTCTATAAAAAAAACAGTTAGTGGAAGAATCAACTTCTTCATTCGGGAATAATTTACTTCTGCACATCCCAAAATGTCTCTTTTCATCTCAATTTAGCACAATGATATCCCTTCCTTGCCTAGTTAATCCAAGATTTGCATATATTCTTCCATGTAAACTTTACTCCATGGCTATTCTTATTTTCAGGATTCCATGAACACCCTTCAAAGTAATTAACTTGTTGAACGTCACCTTAATTACATGGATATTTATGGTACAGATCTTGTGCACGTAGCGAACTCCCAGCCAAATATTGTTATAAACAACAGCTGCATTCTTCCCTTTTTTCTCTTAGGAAAAAAATGAGGGTATTTAGCTTTGATTCTGACGATCGCTACATCGTACCAGTGACCGTTCGAGAAGGCAAATCTGCAGATGTTTATGTGATGAACTACGCTGGGGAGTCATATGATCCTGAGAAGATCGTAGCCCGCGTCGGGCCATCCAGAAGGGCAGGCTTCAATGCGCTACAACTGTGGGGCGTCACGATTGAAGGCGAGGAGCAATTCCAAGAGTTGGTGGCCGACATGGCCTTCAAATCCAGCCAAACAAGAAGCCGAAGCTACCGTCTCGGGGTGAACCGTTTCGGCCAGTGTTTCCTCATAGGAGGCCCGGTTCACCCCTTGGGGAGGTCCGTCGTTATCAACGATTACTTTGGCTGGTCCAAATACGGCGTCGAACCGCCCCTGCCACCGGCGCCGCCGGACGGGACTACTACTTATTGTATTGGTGCCCGTGTCGTGATGAACAGTTTCGAAGCGTTCCACAACCGTGTTGAGGTGGCGGTGGACGTTCGAGGAATCATGAGGGCTGCCGAGGAAGCCAGGAACCTGCGGCGGAGGCTGGAAAGGACGGAGAAAGAGGCGGAGGAGGTGAGGCTGGAGCTGACGGCGTGCAGGAAGGAGATTGAATGCGTGGACGATGCGGTGGAGAGGAGCGGGAGGAGCAAGGTCGTACTGGAAAAGTTGGCAGAAGAGAAAGAGAAGGAGGTCGAGGGGTTGAATAGTCAACTTTTCGCTTTCAAGGCCGCTCTGGGGTCTTTAGTTGATCATCATCACAACCACGACGAAGTATAAAAATCTCTTCCTACTGCAGTACTATCCATCGATCCGACTTCCCCACCATCAAACTTCACTATTTAATTTATCTGTAATTAATTCGTCGTTATCATGTATGTCTTATTATGCTTTACATCGATGTAATAAATCAACAAAGATGATTATTAATTGATAAAAATAATATTACAATGCAAAATGTAGTGGTTTGTGATTATTTACATTCAAGGCTGCTCTCGTGACGGTTGTTTACAAGTGGAATGGATTACTATTGCTAAATGCTAACTTGATTGAACCACTGTTGTAAAATTGCTTGCTTCCCCTGGTTTCTTATTTGGAATAAAAGATTCACCTTTCAAAAAAAAAAAAATAGTTAATACATTAATTAATGGACTTATCTGAAGAAGATCGCGTCAGCAGGTAATAAAATGAATCATATAATAATATTGAGGGGGCGAGTAAAGTTTTTTAAAAAGAACTCTAATATGAATGAAATCTCACTTGTGTCTATGTTTCATTTTTCGTGATGTTAGAGGCCATTAATGGAATGTTACAATGGTTGACATTCGCGTTTATGACCTCCAAACCGAAGACCAACTATTTCATGATAAAACGACCTCCCTCAATCCTTGTTGGCTACCAATGAAGTTCCTCATGTGGCCCATTAATTGTGCCAAAGATTCTTATTAATTGTCTTAACTTGTAATGTTGATTGAATGATTATTCCCTTTTCACATAGCATAAATACTTTGGATGTCTAACTTCACTACAAGAAAATTCACTTTCTGCGACGGAAATAAATCGTCGCAGAAAGCCTAAAATCCGTCGCAAAATCATTTTGCGACGGATTAAACCGTCGCAGAAAATAAAAAGCTTTCGTCGCCTATACAGCGTCGCAGAAAGTTCTGCGACGAAAAAAAATTGGTTCGTCGCAGAAAAATCAAATTCGTCGCAGAAGTTTGATGATTTAGCGACGATCATGCCGTCGCAGAATGGTGATTCTGCGACGAAAATAGCTCCGTTGCAGAAAGAAAGGTTATTTGGCAACGGATTATTTCGTCGCAGAAAGTTAAATGATTTGGCGAAGAAAACCCATTTTCGAATTAATTCAAATTTATTTTCTGGTTAATTTCAATATAGGTCACAATTTCATTTCGGGCTATTTCAGTATAGGTCACAATTTTTTCGCTTGTATTCGTTTTCTGATTCCTTCTTTTGTCAAAACTCAAATAAGCACCTCATCAAACCTAAAAATGCAGATTTGCCCAAATTAAGTACACTATCAATTCCTCATTCAAAATCCAGATTTGCTAAGTCAGATCTCTTGAACAATTTTTTTAAAAACAGAGCATATCCCGTTCGGAAGAGCAGATCTGGTCGTCCTTGCTCGGCTGGACCCGATTCGCCGCGCCCAGAGACCAAAATCCAGGCCAACTGTCAATCTCTTTTCACCGCCGTCGACACCGGAAGCCACCAGAGAGCCCCTTTTCTTCTCCCCTCGTTCTAAACCAAAACCCAGAAGGAAATATGTCATTGCCCGTTCTCTTGAACCAGAAAATGAAAAGAAAAACACACATGCAGGCCGAATCTTACCCAGATCTTCGCTTTTATAATCAAGAGGGAGCCGATTTGTCGCAGCCAAGGGCCAAACCCCAGGCACCCTGTCAATCTTCCTTCAGCATAGACGAACCCCAAGGCTACCGGCGATACCCTTTTCTTCCAGTTTGCTTTTCTAATCGAGAGGAGGAGATTTCCCACTGACTGTTTCAAGATTTTTGTTGTCTACATGGGGAGAGAAGACGAGAGAGGAAGAAGGGGAAAAATTAAAGATTGGAAGAGAGGAGGAAGATGAGTTGGGCGGCTAGGGTTTACTAACCCTCTCTTCCTTTATATACTGACAACCCACTCAATTGACCAAAATGCCCTTCCGATGCCTACAAATAACCCGCACCAAAAAATCTCCATGGAGAGTCGAACAGCTGACCTTCAGCCCAGGTCTATGTGAAGACAAATGTTTTAACGACTTAGGCTACTACAAAACAGATGTGGAATTTACTTTTCTTTCGGTTTTGCCCATTTAATCAAGCTTAAGATTTCAAAAACCACCATGTACGTCTAAATCTCTTAAATACTTAATCATCTAGAGTTTATGGGACCGGAGCTCAAAGGTTATCTTCAACTAATTTACAAACTAATCGTGTAGAGTTTAAAAAAAATGTCAAGATTTATCAATCCATAAAATAATTATATATTTTCGTTGCCTTTTATAAAATAAACTTTCTAAATATGAAAATTACAAATCAATTGAATGCGATAAGTTTTTTTTTTAACTTAGTTATGTGCATAGGTACTCATAAGTCATACCTAAATATTCTTAATTCGCAAAATGGCTTGAACATTCTGCGACAGAAGACAATCGTCGCAAAAAGAATCGAACATTTTGCGACGTAAAACAATCGTCGCAAAAGGTCTCGAACATTATGTGACGAAGATAAGCGTCGCAGAAAAGCTCAAAATATTCTGCGACGAAAAGAATTTCGTCGCAGAAGTTTTCACATATTCTGCGACGCCAGATATTTGTCGCAAAAAGTCTCAAACATTCTGCGACGAAGATGAGCGTCGCAGAAAATATATGAATATTCTGCGACGGCGTCCAATCGTCGCACAAAGTCCCCAAAACTTTTTGCGACGATACTAGTCGTCGTGAAAAATAATCGACCGTCGCAAAATCCTATACCCCACCTACCACAGAATATTAACACAATCTGCGACGAAAATACAAAATTCGTTGCAAAATGTTCACTTTCTGCGATGATTTTTGCGTCGTCGCAATAGAATCCGTCGCAAAAGGAGCAGTTTCTTGTAGTGCTTTAAGTTGTTTTTGAATATTCTTACCTCCAAACCTAGGAAACCAATTAGTTAAATTTACATGTACGTACGATCGGGTGATTAGCTACCTTAAGTTCCACCTTACTTCAGAACATGGAATTCCATGAGGAAAGCCACGTAAACATATCATAAAAAACGCACTATAAGACCACCAAATTGCTCTATTATTCATTACCTTCATCTTAGACCCCAAAAAATAAAAAATGGCAGTGTTTACTCTGAACTCCGACAACCAATTCATCACACCATCACTCGACCTTCAAGGCCACGTCACGGTGATGGAGTACTCCGTCGACCCGTACGCTTTCGACAGGATCCGACCCGCCCCACTCCCCGGCCACTGCGCCCTCCGAGCCGTCGTCGGCCCTCGTCGTCCGTACAAGAAGCTACAAGTCGTCGCGGGCGTCACGTTCGAGAATCAGAAACTCGCCGACCTAGCGAACGACTTGTCCTTCAAAGCAGCAGACGGCGGCACGATCCTCCATCGCCTGTCCGTCAACCGTTTCGGCATGTGTTTCTTCACGGACGTCGACCACGCGGCGTTCGGGAAGCTGGCCATGAACGATTACTTTGGTTGGTCCAAATACGGCGTCGTTGTTCCACGTGACGTCGTTGCCAGTGTCTCCAACGTACGGAATAGGTACGAGCTGTACGGTGGAGCGGTGGTGATCGACGTCAGGGGTGCGATGAGGTGCGCTGAGGAAGGTGAGGAGTTGCGGCGGAGGTTGGAGGAGAGGAGGAAAGAGGTGACGAAGGGGAAGTTGGAGGTGGAGAAGTGGAAGAAGGAAAGGGAGCGGAAGAGAGAGGTGGTGAGGAGGAACGAGGAGGTGGAGTCGCGGTGGCGGGAGTTTGTGGGAGAGAAGGAGAGGGAGGCGGAGGTGGTGAGAGATCGAGTGGTTGCTTTTAAGGCCGCCGTCGGTGCCTTGGTCGGTGATCATCACGGCGGCGAGGAATAATGTGGTGGCCGGTTCTCTTCATTTTCAATGATGTCGTCGTATCTATTGTTCGTACTTTGCTGTTCATGGATATGTATCAAAAGATTATGCTTATATGATAGCATGGAAAATAAATAAGTTGGATGTCGATTTGTAACTTGTGTGATATGATTTGTCTGGGCTTATTAATAAAAAAATATATATATTTTACATAATAGTAAACTACACTAAGCATTTTGAGAAGGTTATAGTGTGCAAACAAGAACTTACTGTAGTGGTAATGTTACTCATTTATTAATTTGGAGATCACACGAAACAAAAGTTAATTCATGTGCTTGATGTTTAGAGAGACATGTCATACCATCGGCTTTAAATTATCATCTTTCAATATTTGGTGGTTCATGATGACTTGGAAATCACGTTTTGTTCCCAATAACTCGAATTATTCGAAAAAGATAGAATATATGAATATTAGTCACTTCCTTACATAACATATCATCATATCATGGAGGTTCCTTGCGTGATTATCAACTAGATGATTACTTCGGTTGGTCCAAGTACGGCGTGAATTCGTTCCTTCCTCTAGGGGGGAGATTGTTTGGTTACTGCTGACAACGTGAGGAACGTTATGGACATGTTCGACCGTGCTAGGTTGGTGGTGGATGTTCGAGAGATCATGATGACTTCTTACGAGGTCAGAAACCTGCGGCGGAGAATGGAAGAGGAGGAGGAGGTGAGGTTGGAGTTTTATCTGAAGTGGGACAGTCATGGACACTTTCGTCTACCTGATCTGTCATGATCAGCACCATTCTCGATCTTTTTATTTATTTATTTATGAATTCTCGATTTATTTTTTTCCTAAATAACATGTAATTCACTTGCATCAGATATAATTCTTTCCTTGGTATATTTATTTTCTTAAACAAAATATTTTGCATATATTCTTACACCTTAGTTTTACTTCATTCCTATTCTTACCTTGACCCCCATGTAAATGGATCTTAATGCGATATATATACGTAGGGCTTGAACCCTAATTTCTCCTGCACTACAGCGTCCATAGAATTAAGCTCCATCCCCCGCTCCTCTTCTGCAACATATACATTCATCAAAGAATGGCGGCGGCGTTTATTTTGAAGTCAGACAACCAATTCATTACACCAGCTTCATCAAACGCCGACGTTCTTGTTTACGACTTCGACCACATGGGCGACATGAACACTACTCTTCAGACCAACGAAAAAGGAGCACTCTTGCCAAAGCGTCCGGCCGTTCGCGTCGGCCCTTCGTCGCCACAGCACAAGGCGCTGCAAGTGTTCGGCGTCGCGATCGAGGGCGAGCAACTCGGTGGGCTGGCTCGCGAGCTCGCAGGTATAGTTGATAAGGCGTTAACTACCCCTCTGAACTCTAAAGATCATGTAAATTTTTTGTACTAAAATGACAAAATATAGTAGTTGATAAAGCGTTAGTCGCCCTCGTTAATTCGATTTTTTTTTTTTGTGTAAATTTTTAACCTCCTGCTCATTCGAATTTCTGGCTTCGTCGTTGATGGCAGGAATAGAAGACGGGAACAATGTGTATGTTTACGTGAACCGTCTCGGGTTCTGCATCATCACAAGAATCAACCATATCCATCCGTCAAGGCCATGCGGATCAACGATTGCTTTGGCTGGTCCAAGTATGGCGTGAGGGTGCCTCAAGAGATGATTTGCAAGTCCACCGCCACCTTGTGGAACAGGGTCGACATGTTCACCGGAGAAACCATGATGGACGTGGGAGGAATGGCGAGAGCGGCGGAGGAAGCCAAGGAGCTGCGGCGGAGCCTGGAGGAGGAGAGGTTGGAGCTGGCTGTGTGCAAGATGGAGCTGGGGTGGATGAAGAAGAACGAGTCGCTTTGGAGCAAGCTGGTGGAAGACAAGGAGAATCAACTTCAAGCTTTCAAGGCTGCCTTACGCGAGGCCCTTGGTTGATCTTCGTAAAGGCTAAAATTAAAGGACGGTCGCGGAGAACTTGTTTACGTGATAGTGTTTCCAAATGTAGTATGTGTCGTTGTTGATGTTCCTTCGTTGTAAAACTAATAATAATGTTCTCTTCACATTACTGCTTGTTAAGGGTAGTGTAAATTGAAGAGTAAACATTTGTGGTAATGTAATTAATGAATAACACTAGGATGTTGATTTCGACCTGATCTATTTTACTCGACAGATTTGAACTGTTTTGGTACTCTCCTCCTCGACCTAATTGATTGCACCAATCACAAAATAATGAGTGGTTGATCATATTACATGCCCGGTTGATAGAAATGATGATTATGTGTAAATTTAATTGATTGGTTAATGAGATTAGTGAGAATTCGTGAAAAAATAAGCTATGCTATCGAAGAAATAGGTGATCAGTGATCACTACGTATAGTTGGTCGATTCATTTTCAAAATCACTTTAATTGCGTAAATGGCCATGCAACAAAAATAATTTACATCCGATCTTGTTCCAAACTTGTACAATGTTTCTCTGAGTCACGTTTCTATCAGATTCTTGATTGGTAACTTGAATTCGATATAATTCTTTCCTTAGTAAGTATTTTTTGTTAATTTTTTTTTTTTTTTTGCATATATTCTTATACCTCAGTTTTACTTCGTTCACATTCCTTACCTTGACACCCATGCATTGTGATTTTGCGAAGGAAGTCTGGCATCGATGTAGAGAGGCATGCCCGAGAATTGACAACACCAATGCAGACTTCACCTCCACAATCAGTGAGTGGCAATCAAGTTCCCCTAACAACACAGACGAATGGATCAACTACGGCGCTCTCCACGCCGTCTGCCGGCAGATATGGCTCGAAAGAAACAGACGAACTTTTCAAGATTCAAGCCAGGAAGTAACAACCGTCGCCAGAAGAGCTTTTAAGTCCATGATCGAATGGCCGGTTGTAATGGGCAAAATCACCAAGGAAGAGGCACGACAGTGGCTGAACGAGAAGATCAACAACTTTCTTCATTCGAACAGAGGAGTCTGTTCACAGGGCCGTCGTTTAATGAACTGACTTGTCTGTTTTGTCCCGCTCCTCTTGCGGGTGACTACTCTTTCAGTTCCTTTTCTGTCGCAGGTCGCTTCCTTGTGCTGGCTTGTGAGCCGTTTCTAGCTTCTTGTTGTGTTTATTCGTTTAGGGTGTGCAGGGGCGTTCTGGTTCGCCAAGCCCCCTTTGTTCTTTGTTCTTATCGTTTTTCTGGGTTTGTCTTTTCTTAGCACATCTTGTGCTGCTAGTCCCTTTTTGTTTCGTGTACAGACTCTTTCCTTTTGCTCTAATGCTATCATCACCATTATAAAAAAAAAACTTAAATCCGATATAATTCTTTCCTTAGTAAAGTGTTTTTTAAACAAAATTTTTGCACGTAATCATATTCTTGTAGACTTGTACCTTAATTAGTTTTACTTCATTTTTGCTCGTCAGCCGCCGTGTGGGACAGGGTCGACATGTTCACCGGAGAAACCGTGGTGGATGTCGGAGGAATGGCGAGAGATGCGGAGGAAGCCAAGGAGCTGCGGCGGAGCCTGGAGGAAGAGAGGGCGGAGCTGGCGGCCTGCAGGAAGGAGCTGGGATGGATGAAGAAGATGGAGTCTGTTTCGAGCAAGCTGTTGGAAGAGAAGGACAAGAAGGTGGCGACGTTGGAGAAGAACGAGTCACTTTGGAGCAAGCTGGTGGCATGGAAGAGAAGGAGAATCAACTTCAAGCTTTCAAGGCTGCCTTGCGCGAGGCCCTTGGTTGATCTTCGTAAAAGGCTATGGTAGATCGATCATCATCATAATCACGAGGAAGAATTAATAAAAGTCTGATCTTAGTCCAGTGAATTTGAACTCTCCCAATATCAAGCTTGATTATTGGGTTTCTCTCTAATTAATTCATCCGGTCCCGTTCATGTACACTTCTATATGCTAATGTAATTAAAGAATAACATTTATGGTAATGTAATTAAAGAATAATACTAAGAATGACAATTTCGACCTCATCCGTTTTACACTCGACTTATTTGAATTATTTTGGAGCTCTTTTCGATCGACCTAATCGATTGCAACAATAATCACAAAATAATGAATGGTTAATCATATTACATGATCCATTGATAGATGTTAGGATAGGACTTGAATTTTATTTGGAATTTGTCGGTTCATATGACTTGTCGGTTCATATATACAAATAATTTTCATTGCGTAAATGGTAATGTGACGAGAATAATTTACAACTCGAATCCTTTACAATTATTTTCTGAGGGGTGAAGCTGCAAAATAATGCATGTATTGTTTGAAAGTTTTGATTGTTAGTGTTGTATTTGTTAAATATAAGCGATGTCCACGATACAACGTTTGGAAGTGTTAAGTTGTAAAATAATGCATGTATTGTTTTGTGTGGGTCCCTTATATAATCAACAAAAATGAGGGCCGGATTGTACAATCAACAAAAGTTGTGATTCGTGTGATTGTTGGTTTAATATTTGGGCCCACTTTTCTTTTCTCATTTATATCCGTTGTTCCTTTTGTTTTATATTAAAAGCGAAGGGCAAATGTGACATTTCTTTGTAAATTATAAACTCAGAAATCATAATGTCAAAATACATATATTGTATCAGTGCATGCATTTATATCATAGTAAATCATAAACAATACGAAGATTTAACCTTGACTTACTTCATTCCCCATTCTTACCTTTCACATCCATGCATAAGGGTTACTTAATTAATATGTGATTAGCTTCAGTTTCATCTTACTTCACATCCATGCAAATGGGTTACTTGTGATAAATAAGCTTTAGTTTCTCTCCTCTCATTTTTATCAGATTCTTGATAGGTAATTAGGATCTCGTATAATTCTTTTGTTAGTTTATCATTAAAACCAACTCTTTGCATATATTCTTGTCCCTTACTTCCATTTCAACTTACTTCACATCTACTGCATGCATGTATATCCTAGCTTATAAATAATTAATCCCAGGCCCCCTCTATATATTTTTCTCTTGCGCACTTCCATTGAATTCAGCTCTCCGTCCCCTTGGATCCTCTTCTGCAACATAGATAATAAAGAATAATGGCGGCGTTTACTTTGACGTCTGACAACCAATTCGTTACACCGATCGTTTCCGGTGAAAGTTTGTACGTGAACTTTTTCAAGCCTGTTCTGAATGATGTTCAATTATTCCGACAGGTTGCATTCTACTCAACTGGTCTTACGACCGGTACGATTGGCCCTTCATCGGAACAATACAAGGCACTGCAAGTATTCGGCGTCACGATCGAGGGAGGCCGATTGGGAGAGCTGGCTCGCGACCTCAGAGCAATGGAAAAAGGAAACAATGTGTTCGTTTATGTGAACCGTCTCGGGCTCTGCATAATGTCGGGAATCAAGCATCCATCCATCAAGGCGGTGCGGACCAACGATTGCTTCGGCTGGTCCAAGTACGGCGTGACGGTGCCTCGAGACCTGATCCGCGCGTCCGCCGCCGCGTGGAACAGGCTCGACATGTTCAACGGAGAAACCGTGATGGACGTCGGAGGAATGGCGAGAGCCGCGGAGGAAGCGGAGGAGCTGCGGCGGAGTCTGGAGGAGGAGAGGGAGGAGCTGATGGTATGCAAGATGCGACTGGCATTGATGGAGAATATCGAGTCGCTTTGGAGCAAGATGGATGAAGAGAAGAACAAGAAGGTGGAGACGTTGGAGAAGAACGAGTCACTTTGGAGCAAACTGCTGGAAGACAAGGACAAGAAGGTGGAGACGTTGAAGAGTCAACTTCAAGGTTTCAAGGCTGCCTTGCGTGAGTTGGTCGACCGTCGTAATGACGGCCAGCAGCTCGGAGAAAGAGAAACTACTGTTTGAAAACCTATCATGATCACTCTTTTCAATCTACTTATTATTCTATGGACGGAGCTCCGAGAGCCTAATAATTAATAGTGTTGCTCATCACTCTTTTCTACTTAGTGTAACTAAAAGGTGTTTCTGTGTTTCGGTTGATGTTGTATATGTAATAAACCAGTTGGTCTCAATAAATTGAGTTGTTGAGTGAAAGTTATGTTGAATTTTATACCGGTTCATGTATGGTATTTAAACACTTCCTTACAATGTAGAATGTTGTTACATGAATTTTTTTCATAATATGGTTTAATAATAAAATCAAATTTAGAAAGTAACAAATTGCTATGCCAAAGTCCAGGCTCAAGATAGGGTGCATAACCCATGGTTATGCACCCATCAATAACCAAATCTGGACCCTCCATTTAGAAAATCCAGATCTAAGGATGGAGAATTAAATGTCATTTTTATTTTAACTAGCTTTCTTAATTGACTCATATCTTTTTCGTTTTAACTCGGATTTTAATTTTTTTTGCACAGATGGAACGAGTTCATCGTGCTCTACAAAATAAGATCAATTTTCAATATTTTTTGAGGAAAAAAATATTCTGGCCTCTCGGTACCAACTGCATACCATATGGTATCTTCTTCGTTTTTCATTCGTTTTTGAAAACGTTTGCACAGCAGGGACGAGTTCATCATGATCTATTGGATCTACAAATTTATGGGTGAACAAATTACAAGACCAAAAAATACCACACATTACCATACAATACCACCCTGGTACGGGGTGGTATTTTATGGTATCTTATGGTATACAATGTTAAAAGTCGTAAATGACAATTAATATACTTCTACTATCATGTATTCAATCATCCTACAGTCTTGGTTTGTTCATACCACCATGGTACACTTTTCAAACCATACAATACCACCCTGGTACGAGGTGGTATTTTATGGTATCTTATGGTATACAATGTTAAAAGTCGTAAATGACAATTAATATACTTCTACTATCATGTATTCAATCATCCTACAGTATTGGTTTGTTCATACCATCATGGTACGCTTTTCAAACCATAGGTATGCTCTTATTTCAATACCAGTCAATACCATATGGTATAGACTGGTAAAAAATGGCTCAATTTTTTTTGCTCGAAAAATATATCAAAGTGGATATCATTTTGAAGAGTACAATTAATCTGATCTAACTGTGCAAACAAAATTAAATTTCGACTTAAAACGAGTGAGAAATCGTCCGTCAAAGATTAAGGAGGAGAAAATTAAAGGCTTTCCAGGAGAGAGAGGATGCTGATGTGGGCGGGTTACTCATAGTTACTCACCATAAGGTTACTCACCTGATCCATGACTAATCTTGCATAACCTTTTCATAATCACGAGGAAGAATAAATAAAAGTCCGATCTTAGTCCAGTGAATTTGAGCTCCCAATATCAAGCTTAATTATTGGGTTTCTCTCTAATTAGTTCATCCGGTCCCGTTCATGTACACTTCTATGGTAATGTAATTAAAGAATAACATTTATGGTAATGTAATTAAAGAATAACACTAGGAATGACTACTTCGATCTCATCTGTTTTACACTCTGCTTATTTGAATTATTTTGAAACTCTTCTCGGCCTAATTGATTGCAACAATAATCACAAAATAATGAATGGTTAATCATATTACATGATCCATTGATAGATGTTAGGATAAGACTTGAATTTGATTTAGGATTTGTTCTTTTATATTGTGTTTGAAAGTTTTGATTGTTAGTGTTGTATTTGTTAAATATAATCACTGTCCATGATACAACGTTTGGAAGTGTCAAGTTATAAAATAATGCATGTATTGTTTTGTGTGGGTCCCACCTACAATCAACAAAAATGAGGGCCGGATTATACAATCAACAAAAGTTGTGATTCTTGTGATTGTTGGTTTAATATTTGGGACCACTTTTCTTTTCCCATTTACATTCGTTGTTCCTTTTATTTTATATTAAAAGCGAAGGGCAAATGTGACATTTCTTTTGTAAAGTAACTTCACGACGGTCAATTCATAAATTTTATAGAGAAATTTTACAATGCTATATAGTATTGGTGCTATAGGTTTTTGCCTTTATGGTACAACTTAAAATTGTACATTTACGTTATGGTACAAATTTAGATTGTACCTATACTTTTTGTGCAAATTCTTTTATGGTACAACTTGAACTTGTACCTTTATGTGATGGTACAACTTCAAATTGTAAAGTTGTACCATAACATAATGGTACAAATTGCTTTATGGTACAACCTAAACTTATACATTTTATGTTATGGTACAACTTTGAGTTGTGCATTAAAGCACCAATACTATATAGCATAGTAGAAGTGCTCAAATTTTATAATCTCAACAATCGAACAATGTAATGTCAAAATACATCTATTATATCAGTGCATGCATTTATATCATAGTAAATCATAAACAATACGACGATTTAACATACGCAACTTCCAAACGCGACCCATTAGTTAACTAGGCAAATCAAAATTTGCATATATTCTTGGACCTCTGCCTTACTTCATTCCCCATTCTTACCTTTCACATAATCCATGCATATGGGTTACTTATTAATTGTGATTAGCTTCAGTTTCATCTTACTTCACATCCATGCAAATGGGTTACTTGTGATAAATAAGCTTTAGTTTCTCTCCTCTCATTTTTATCAGATTCTTGATAGATAATTAGGATCTCGTATACAATCCTTTTGTTAGTTCGTCATTAAAACCAACTCTTTGCATATATTCTTGTCCCTCACTTCCGTTTCAACTTACTTCGCTTCTACTGCATGTATATCCTAGCTATATAAATAATTAATCCCAGGATATCATAATATCAACCCCCCCTCTGTATATTTTTCTCTTGCGCATGCACTTCCATTGAATTCAGCTCCATCTCCGTCCCCTTCTGCAACATACATACATAATAAAGAATGGCGGAGGCGTTTACTTTGACGTCGGACAACCAATTCGTTACACCGTCCGGAACCGGTGAAAGTTTGTACGTGTACTTGTTGAAGCCTGTTCTGAATGATGTTCAATTATTCCGGCAGGGAGCACTCTTCTTGACAAGTATTACGAGCTTTAAGGTTGGACCTTCATCGGAACAACACAAGGCACTGCAAGTATTCGGCGTCACGATCGAGGGAGGCCGATTGGGAGAGCTGGCTCGTGAGCTCAGAGCAATAGAAGAAGGAAACAATGTGTACGTTTATGTGAACCGTCTCGGGCTCTGCATAATGTTAGGAATCAAGCATCCATCCGTCACCGCGGTGCGGATCAACGATTGCTTCGGCTGGTCCAAGTACGGCGTGAGAGTACCTCAAGAACTGATTCGCGCGTCCGCCGCCTCGTGGAACAGGCTCGACATGTTCAACGGAGAAACCGTGATGGACGTGGGAGGAATGGCGAGAGCTGCTGAGGAAGCGGAGGAGCTGCGGCGGAGCCTGGAAGGGGAGAGGGTGGAGCTCGCGACCTGCAGGAAGGAGCTGGAATGGATGAAGAAGAACGAGTCGCTTTGGAGCAAGCTGGTGGAAGAGAAGGACAAGAAGGTGGAGACGTTGGAGAGTCAACTTCAAGGTTTCAAGGCTGCCTTGCGTGAGTTGGTCGACCGTCGTCAGGACGGCCAGCAGCTCGGAGAAAGAGAAACTACTGTTTGAAAACCTATCATGATCACTCTTTTCTTTTCTACTATTATTATATCATGGACGGAGCTCGGAATAGAGCATGTTTAATTAATAGTGTGTCCCATCCATCACTCTTTTCTACGTATTCTAAATGGTGTTTTATATGTATCGGTTGATGTTGTATATGTAATAAATCAGTTGGTCCCAATTTCATTTAGCTTATACAAATTCGGAAAACAAAGAATCAATGTCCCAATAAAAAAAGTATGAAAAAGCAAGGAATGGATCAGAACATTGGCTTGAATATCTCCATAGGAGCTACATTTCGGACAAGATAATCAATTTCGATAATCTAGGGAAAGTATCATCACATCCACAATGAAACACAACTACTCAAATTGATCTAAAATTTAGAAATTATCAAAAGGGGGGGTTGGAGTGAAAACCATCAGAAACCTAAAAAAGAATCCACAGAAGCAACATTGAAGCTGTTGTACGGTCCGCAACTCCGCATCATGGTTTGGGCACGATTTGGCGCCCGCATCACCTGGTGGAGCAACATTGAAGCTGCTGTACGATATGTGCAATCCGACATTGGTGAAGTGGCGATGGGTTAGGACAAGGAAGAGAAGGAAACTAACATGTTGTGGCACCAGCGAGTTACGATAGGCGATGATGAGTGCGACGGGCGCTGCCGCGTTGGAGGCTTGGAGGAGCTATCGAGTGCGACGACTAGAGCTTTGCTGGAAAATTGGCGGCGACGATTGTTGAGCCTTGTAGCAGCTTCGGATTCTTCACTGGAGTCTGGAAGGCCTACCTCGCGATGGCGGCGACATGCGATGACGAGTGCGGAGGGCGGGGCCTACCTCGTTGGAGTGTGTGAGACATGAGACGAACGATTAGGGATTGTGGAAGATCTCAGCCCAATATCCACCCCATCCCCTTTTTTTTTTTTTGTCCGAAGTGATCGAAACGGCGTCGTTTTGGTTTGGTGGAGACAGTTTTCTCTTTTGCTTGGAATCGGGTAAAATCGGTCTGAAAACGCGTTTTTATCCGATTTCAATGATTCTACTAACACTTTTGACCAATTTTGAGTGAAAAACGATTTTATTAGTGATTTGAAACGTTTTCCTACCCTAGAAACATAAAATCGTACGTTTTAACGCTTTAAAGCGCGATTTTGACTGCACTGATCTAGACCATGAATTAAATCGAGTTTGGGGTATGATACTATACTCTAACCTCTAATGGATAAAACCCAGACACCGATTTTCTAAACCCAATCCGAAGTTTGATTTAATGAAAAACAAAAATTGACCGTTGAGATCGGTCGGAGCTCATCTAAATGCATCTAATAGCTAGATCACCCGACGTATAATATACGTATATATATATCAAATGTAAAAAGATTGGGTTATATAAATATATTAACCTTTAAATCTTGTATAATTCTTTTCTTAGTTAAGCATTTTAAACAAACTTTTGCACATATTCTTGTACATCAATTTCACTTCATTCTTATCCTTTAATTAGTTAGCTTTTTAGGGTGGGATGGGATTAATTAATTAGTTAGCATTCTTATCCTTTAATTAATTAAGCCTGTGATTGCAACAATGATCAAAAAATAATGAATGGTTAATCATATTGCATGATTCATTGATAGATGTTAGGATAAGACTTGAATTTGATTTGGGATTTGTTCTTTTATATTGTGTTTGGAAGTTTTGATTGTTAGTGTTGTATTTGTTAAATATAAGCACTGTCCACGATACAACGTTTGGAAGTGTCAAGTTATAAAATAATAATGCATGTTATGTTTTGTGTGGGCCCCACCTACAATCAACAAAAATGAGGGCCGGATTGTACAATCAACAAAAGTTGTGATTCTTGTGATTGTTGGTTTAGTATTTGGGCCCACATTTCTTTCTCCATTTATATAGTCGTTCCTTTTATTTTATATTAAAAGCGAAGGGCAAATGTGACATTTCTTTTGTAAAGTAACTTCACGACGATCAATTCATAAATTATAATCTCAACAATCGAACAATGTAATGTCAAAATACATCTATTGTATCAGTGCATGCATTTATATCATAGTAAATCATAAATAATACGCGATGATTTAACATACGCAACATCCAACCGCGACCCATTAGTTAACTAGGCGAAACAAAATTTGCATATATTCTTGGACCTTTGCCTTACTTCATTTCCCATTCTTACCTTTCACATCCATGCATATGGGTTACTTGTGATTAGCTTCAGTTTCATCATTAAAACCAACTCTTTGCATATATTCTTGTCCCTTACTTCCGTTTCAACTTACTTCACTTCTACTGCATGTATATCCTAGCTATTTAATCCCAGGCCTCTGTATATTTTTCTCTTGCGCATGCACTTCCATTGAATTCAGCTCGATCTCCGTCCCCTTCTGCAACCTACATAATAAAGAATGGCGGCCGCGTTTACTTTGACGTCTGACAACCAATTCGTTACACCGTCCGGAACCGGTGAAAACTTGTACGTGCACTTGTTCAAGCCTGTTCTGAATGATGTTCAATTCTTCCGACAGGGAACATTCGTCTCAATTGGCGGTCGTTCGACCTGTACGATTGGCCCTTCATCGGAACAATACAAGGCACTGCAAGTATTCGGCGTCACGATCGAGGGAGGCCGATTGAGAGAGCTGGCTCGTGAGCTCAGAGCAATAGAACAAGGAAACAATGTGTTCGTTTATGTGAACCGTCTCGGGCTCTGCATAATGTCGGGAATCAAGCATCCATCCGTCAACGCGGTGCGGATCAACGATTGCTTCGGCTGGTCCAAGTACGGCGTGAGAGTACCTCAAGAACTGATCCGCGCGCCCGCCGCCACGTGGAACAGGGTCGACATGTTCAATGGAGAAACCATGATGGACGTCGGAGGAATGGCGAGAGCTGCGGAGGAAGCGGAGGAGCTGCGGCGGAGCCTGGAGGAAGAGAGGGTGGAGCTGACGGTATGCAAGATGAAACTGGCATGGATGGAGAAGAGCGAGTCGCTTTGGAGCAAGCTGGTGGACGAGAAGGACAAGAAGGTGGAGACGTTGGAGAGTCAACTTCAAGGTTTCAAGGCTGCCTTGCGTGAGTTGGTCGACCGTCGTCAGGACGGCCAGCAGCTCGGAGAAAGAGAAACTACTGTTTGAAAACCTATCATGATCACTCTTTTCTTTTCTACTATTATTAAATGGACGGAGCTCCGAGAGCTTGTTTAATAATTAATAGTGTTTCTCATCACTCTTTTCTACATATTGTAAATGATGTTTTATATGTATCGTGGACTCGTGGTTGATTGTTACATAAATACTTTATAATGTGTGGTCTAATAATATAATTAAATTTATAAAGTAACATATGATTAGATTGTTATGTCAAAGTTAACTAATCTTGTAGAACCTTTTCATAATGCGGATTGATGATGACATGTTAAAATATTTTAGTTAACAAATACGGATTTTTTTTTTTTGGGTAATAAAATGGAGCGAGACGGCGCTCCAACCGTTAACTTAGAACAAAGCGAGGGGGGCTGAATGTTCAGTACATCATGTAGAAGCAAATGATTGAGTGACGACGTCGTGGCAGGGGATCGGGTGTTCACTGATGCTGAAACAGTGTCCCAACGCGAGGCTAGGTGATCCGCTACCACGTTAGCCTCTCGGAACACATGCTTGAGGTTGATCTGCCACTCCCTCCCGATGAGCCGACGAATCTGGGCGACTAGCAGGTTGTAGTGCGGGCTCTCCTCCGGCGCACTTTGAATCAGCGCCAGTGCGGCCTTCGAGTCCGATTGTACCTCCACTTTCCTTACGCCCTTCTCCCATGCTACCTTCAATCCGATACAGATTCACATAAGTTCAGCTCGCGTGATGGATCCTTCGCCCAAATTTGCTGTAGAAGCTCGAATTGGACGTCCGTCCTCCTACCGAATCACTCCTCCCGCTGCGGAGCTCCCCTAGCTATAAACATAACCATGGAATTTTGGTTAATCATAAAGTAATAATTTAATATTTTTTCTATTATTAGGTGAAAAAGACTTACCGTAGTACCGTAGAACTGGTTGTTACCGCGGAAAGAGAAAATAAGTTCACTTATTTTTTTAATAATTAGTGAAATGTGCTTGTGCTTTTAATTATGTGGTCTAATAATAAAAGATAGAAAAATAATTTAATATTATTTCCTACTATTTTGAAAAGAAAAAACTTACCGTGAAATTGGTTATAGGAATAAAAGCCCATTGTGAACAATACCACGAAGAGAGAAAGTCATCTATTTTTTCTTAATAAACAGTAAAAAGTGTTTGTTCAAATAATTTCTCTTATTATGTGGATTGAAAGTAAAATCACTTTTATTTTCGCAAGTTGGCAATGTGGCAAGAACTTAACCTCTAATATTGTTCCAAACTTCTACATACAATGATCTCGTGATGATCACATTTCTATCAGATTCTTGATAGATAACTTGAATCTCATATAATTCATTACTTAGTTAATCATTTCAAACAATCTTTTGCATCTCTTAATTCTTGTACCTTAGTTTTACTTCATTCGTATTCTTACCTTGACACCCATGCAAATGTGGAATATTATATTATGTGATTGATATTAGCTTAGGGTTTCTTCTTACTTCCCTTCCACTGCATGTATATATATTATCCCCTTGATATCATATATAAACCCCTCCATTGAATTAAGCTCCATCGACCAATCCCTCGATCTCCTTAACATATAGAGAATGGCGGCGTTTATTTTGAAGTCCGACCACCAATTCGTCACACCACGTACAAATGCCGATCTTCTTGTGTTCGACTTCGAGCACATGGGCGATATGAACACTACAACTCTTCAGACCAACGAGAGGGGAGCACTCCTGGCCAAGCATCCGTCCGTCCGCGTCGGCCCTTCGTCGGAACAACACAAGGCGCTGCAGGTGTTCGGCGTCACGATCGACGGCGAGCAACTCGGCGGGCTGGCTCGCGAGCTCAGCGGAATCGAAGACGGGAACAATGTGTATGTCTACGTGAACCGCCTCGGGCTCTGCGTGGTCACCAAGATCAACCATCCACAAACCAAGTCCCTGCGGGTCAACGATTGCTTTGGCTGGTCCAAGTACGGCGTGAGGGTGCCTCGAGAGATGATTTGCAAGTCCACCGCCACCACGTTGTGGAACAGGCTCGACATGTTCAACGGGGAAACCATGATGGACGTGGGAGGAATGGTGAGAGCTGCGGAGGAAGCGGAGGAGCTGCGGCGGAGCCTGGAGGAGGAGAGGGTGGAGCTGGCCGCGTGCAGGAAGGAACTGGAGGAGAAGAAGGTGGAGCTGACAACATGCAAGAAGGAGATGGAGGAGAAGAACGTGGAGCTGACAACATGCAAGAAGGAGATGGAGGAGAAGAACGTGGAGTTGACCGCGTGCAAGAAAGAACTGGAGGAGAAGAAGGTGGAGCTGACCACGCGCGAGAAGGAAGTGGAGGAGAAGAACGCGGAGCTGACCGCATGCAAGAAGGAAGTGGAGGAGCAGAAGGTGGAGCTGGCGGCTTGCAGGAAGGAACTGGAACGAAGCAAGATGATTGAGTCCGATCTGAGCAAGTTAGTGGAAGAGAAGAACAAGAAGGTGGAGACGTTGGAGGATCAGGAACTTGTGGCTTCCAAGACTGCCCTAAACAAAAGAAGGTTTTTCTGCTTCTAAAAATGCAGCCAGCAACATAGGCTCCTCGCAAATTGTGCACTTTCTGCGACGAATTTCTTGTCGTTGCAAAAAAAAAAGTTTATCGGAAAAAGTACAGTTTCTTGTAGTACATGCAACCTCACATAAAAAAATGTTACAAGGGAAGATAACCAATATAATCCAACTAGTAATGCAATAAAACAATAAAAGATGGCGATTGATAGATAAAAATATTATTGCTCATTTAACTGATTATAATTCTAAGAAGGTGGAGATGTTGGAGAATCAAGTAGTTGTTGCTTCCAAGGCTGCCCTTAATAACAAAAAAAGGTATAAGTTCGTTGCAAATTGTACACTTTCTGCGACGAATTTCTCGTCGCACAAAAAAAAGTCTCAAGTGTAGTTTCTTATATTGCATATTGCATGTAAGAGATTAAAAGGTTTAATTGTCTCTTTTTCAACTACTCGAGTTATTGGGGTCAAGTGGTTAGTTCGTTAATATGGTATTAGAGCATAAAAACGTAAGGTCATGGTTTCAAATGCTATGACGACCCCCAATTTTCAACCATTTTTTTAGCACAAGATGCTATGTCCGACCTGTACAAATTAAAGTCTCGTGGTACAGTACGAACAAATGTTACAAGGGAAGATAACCAACATAATCCAACTAGTAATGCTATAAAAAAATAAAAGACGGTGGTTGATTGATAAAAAAAATATTATTGCTCATTTAACTTCTTTCTTCCCAACAGTTCCCTTTCATTTCTCTTTTCTCCCCTGTTCTTCCAATCCCTTATCTAGCCAGAGCTTCTCTTTCAATTTGTCCCCGATGTTGGGGGTAGTCGGATCACAGTTGAGATTAGGGAAATCAGAGAATCGATTTGAATGAGAAAGGGAGACATAATAACAGGCAAATATCTGAACTTTATTGGAACTCGATCTGGCCGGAACAAGAATCCATGGGAAGGCGAAAGACAGAAAAGCAGCAACAGCGAGCGGGAAGAATGAATGAATCCCCACAAAGGGAAAATCTCAAAGCAACCGCCTGCTGTTATGCTTATGGAGACAGAGAGAGAAGCACCTTGCCGGCGGACTCGCAACTCTAATCCGCTGGGAATCGATCTTCCGGCGTTTTCGACCGCTATCTCTCTGTTTCTCCGATGTAAATAAACTTTCAGCAGAGGACGAAAGGTTAATTAGTTTGGTAGTTCATAGAATCATAGTTCTCTGTATAATTCGCTCTGTTTTTCATGTAATTTTGCAGTATTCTTCTGCTCATTTCGACTATTTCTCGGGAATCTACGCTACCCGCATGGCAATATATCGCGGAAACCCAAAATATCGTAAAATATCGCGATATATCGCCATATCGTCAAAATACCGTCAATTTCAATTTATCGTCAATTTCTCGCGTTTCGATTTTGGTTTTGAGGACAGGAAACGTTTCGCGTTTCGACGTTTCTCCAGCCGTTTCACCCCTCGGCCACACGTTTCTACAGCTTACCGGCTTTAGGGCCAGGGTTGGCCGAAGTTGGGCCTGGCCGAACAGGCCCGAATCTGGCATCAGGCCTACAACTCAAGTTTGGGCTTGCTCACTTCGGCCTAGCCTATACAATGTTGTCTAGCTTAAATAGCCCTTCTGGCCCGTCCAAATAATGGGCCAGCGGCACCAGCTTCAGAGAAAGCCCGAAACGCATTGAGACAGCTCAGAAACGCGGAACGGCAGGCCGAAACGCGAACGTTTCGGGTCCTCAAAACCAAAATCGAAACGCGAGAAATTGACGAGAAATTGAAATTGACGAGATCTCACGATATGTTAAAATATCGCAATATTCAACGATATTTTACGATATGTTGACCGGAATATCCTTTCCGACGATATTATGACCCGCAGGTGAATTCATAAGCCAGAAAACTTCTCCGGCGAGCGATCTTCGCCGTTCTTTCCATCCCTTCCGCCTTTCCGACCGAAGCGTTGATGATTTCGCACCGGATTCCCTTATCTGTTCGCCTCAAATCGCTAATTGAAAGATTCCAAGATTTAGTTTCGTGGTCTCAGTAAAGCATCAGTAGATGCAGAACCTTAAACCTTTCAAAGCAGACACATGGCTGCCGCAGTAAGCCCCGCCGCCGTTGATTTCCTCCGGAACGAAGCTGACTGAGCAAGGGAGAGGCGAGAGATTTGTTTGAGACGGATGATTTTGGAAGGGGCGGGGGGTGATATGTGAAAAAAAGACGAACGAAAACTGAAAATTAGGGATTTGCAATGCAGGACAGAGGAAAGAGGATGAGAGGAAGAAGAAGACGACGACGTGAAACTACGGAAGGATTTGCTTCATTCTAGGGGCCGGGTCATCTTCATCATTCCATCTCTTCAAAATTCACAAGATAGATGGGCTTCAACCTTCAAGAAACACTAGTCACTAGAGAAGAAGGTAATAAGTTTGGTAGGATTCTAGTATTTTAAGTATATTTGTATCGAATTCGTCGAAATTTATATTCTAACTATAATCTAGACTCATTCACTAAAACACTTTGTTCATCCATATCCTAAAATATTATAATTATCTCGTAGACATTAAATCTTGTTCATTTCTCTCAATTTTACAAACAACGTAACAAAAAATTTCATAGATTTAGTCATAGGGATGATTACAATTTTTAAAACGTAATTCGTTTAAAGGAGTTGCAACTGCAAATTGCTGCTGCCAAAAGCCAAGTCAATGCGTGTAAGGAGTGCATCAACAACGTCACTTCTTCTGAGAGTGTTGCTTTGAAGAGGTACTACAAAGAAGCTGAAGCGGCCGCGGTGGAAGCTGAATCATGGAGAGTTGCCTGCTCTCTTAGGCAGCAGTATCTCGACTCCTTCCGGAAGTTAAATCCTCATCTTCCACTAGATTGACATTTAATTAACTCCTGATCATCACTAGCTAGCTAGCTTGCTCTCCATACATCTTCTCGCGTCACATTTCTATCGCGAATTCGTCAACAAATTACTTGTGGAATCCCGTATTATAATTTTTTTTTCTTGATTAGTTTCGTTTTCTATCTCTTACTTCAAATTTTCGCTTTATTAAAAGAGCATGTTTGTTGAAAGTTTACATAGGGACAAAATATACATGCAACTCAAGGAAAGGTCTTACCAGTATAATTTCGT